CGGACCCGTTGGTACAGACCCGTTGGTACAGACCCGTTGACACAGACCCGTTGGTACAGACCCGTTGGTACAGACCCATTGACACAGACCTGTTGGCACAGATACAGACCTGTTGGCACAAAATATTATTCGTTCTTATATAGAGTTCTAAAAGATATAAAATCCCTGTCTTTTTGCTGTAACTACAGGAATTTTTCCTTTTTTAAGCTCTTCTAATACTTTTTCTACTGAATCTGAATGATCTAAAGGTGCCCATGATCCAGAGAAACTTTTATTATCAAAGAATGGTTTTATTTTATAAATGGCATTCAAATCAAAATCTGCCATTATTGGCCAGCATAAATTAATTAATTGTATGAACTTAGTCATTACTAGCTTTAAAAAGGGTAGAATTGAATAATCGGGCATATCAAACCTTTCAAATAATTTGTCATAAATTAAATACATGATAGCTTTTTTATTTGCAGCTGGGTCTCTTGGGACTAGAGTACTCAATTCCAAACTAGATCTATCAAACATAGTCCAGTATAGGAAATTAAGATCAGCGAAACCCATAAAACCAAAATTTGTATGTAATTTACTTAATTTTATAAATGTTCTAATAATTGGAAATTTTAATAATAAATTTTCTAAATAATTAACCACTAAGGAAGCTATTAAAATCCCTAGCATGTGATTTGATAATTCTATTAAACTGCTCATATCCCAATTAAAATTATGGCGAATCTGGAAGAATTTCTGAGGGCTACAAATTGATGCGAAAAGTGATTCTTTAACCATTATTAAATATTCGCCAAGACTTTCTGGACAATTAGCATTAACATATATCCACCGTTCTATTAAAAAATTTTCAGAAATAGGATGGTTATCTGGATCGAAATATAATGTATCTACTGATGCCTTAGGTAAAGACAAGTCAAATACTTTTAACATGTTTTTGTAATTCTGAAACACAAATTCACATTTAAAGTCAACCTCATGAATAAAAGCACAAGCATCACAAATAAATTGTTCAAATGGAGACATATCTAGAGTTACCAATTCATTATATCTATATTCATATTGTAGACGTATTACTTCCTCATACGATTTTATAGAACATCGTTTTCTTATTGCTTTCATATGGCTATAATATGCTTCTATTAATTCATTATAATATTTAACGCAAATTTCATGAATATCTGGATAATGGGCACAATTATTGGCTAAACCAACAATACACTCAAGCAAATAAGTCTTATTTTTTTTTGGATTTTTTTTTTATATCATCAAATTTCATTAAAAGTTTATCTCGATTATATTTATAAGTTACTTTACAAGCATAGTCAGGTACATACTTAAGGACTTCTTCTAACTGTTTTTCACTATCTGAATATATCTTACTTAAGAACTCTACTCCTTCTAGACCTTCTGATTTATTTTTCAATCTTAAGCTAATTCCCTTTTGGGCAAAATAGTCACATAATGTGTTTTCATTCCACTTATCATTGAAACAATTGCTACTTAGTACATTATCATCTCCATACACTGTAATTTTATTATATTTGAAAAAGTCTTCTGCTGGCATTCCAGTTAATTCTTTCCAAGCTTCAACAAAAAGAGTTAAACAATATATTGTATTATCAGGACTAACAGTACTCTGTCCAGTGGAATGACCTCTATGTTTCATCCTTACTTCGCCATCATACGATGTCCACAAGTAACTATTGTATAAATTATCATAATATGTTTTCATCATTAATTCTACCCTTTCTCGTTGTGGATAATTTGCATAACCTAATATACGAACTTTCATTAATATTCGCATATAATTATAACTCATGGTCGAGTCCATAGATGTAATATCCATTTGTAAATGTATCTTATATGATCTATGTTGTTCAAAGATAAGTGAAGGGATGGCATGTGCACTGAACATTCCAATTGTACACCCATTCATGGGATCAAAATTTTTATTTTGACAACCATTCACCAACATGCCATTAAAGTAAGTCAAAAGATCCATTGCAATTATACTTCTAATCTTTTCTTCTATTTTTACTTTTGACAATTTTAAGACTTCATCTTTTAAAAATACGTGGCTAACACTAGGGATAGCTATGTCACCCTCTAGATACTGACGTATTTTCTTTAAAAAACCTGGCAACTACCCATACAGTATATTACCTTCTGACGCGACATATTCTCATTACCATCTAAAAATCTGTATGGGAAACCCCAACTATATGCTATATGCCATTTTTTAAGTACTTCTTCTAGACTCATTAATGTGCTATTCTCTAAGATAGGCCTTAGTTGATTATATACTGCTTTTGTTATTTCGTCTTCTTTTTCATCATCTAATTTAGTTTGCTTTGTATCTATGAAATATCTCTCATTACTTTTTTTTACCATATTTAATGTACCCAACCGTCATGTAAAAATGCCCTCAAGGTGCGGGTATTTTTCTTTTAATTCATTTATCATTCTGGCAGTTATTGTGTCAATTTCAATATCAAATTTCCTTAAAGGTACTGTTATTCCAATTGTATATAATTCATTTTTAACGTTACATATATTTAAATCAATAGGTATTTCAAATAGTTCAACATAATAATCTTGTATAGCCTGAAGATCTAAAATAACAGTTTTTTTATCTGGTATATTAAGATTATGATCTATATCTCTATAGATCTTTTTACCAACAAAGGAAACATGTCTATGTTTGACAAGATTGATTAAAGGAAACCAAACTGTTTTTCTATTATCCCTATATTTATTATATATTTTTTTTGTGTCCTCTACAAAACTAAAATCTGTAAAATAATCTAAAAATGCGGATTCTGATTTATCTATAGAAACGAAATTGGAAACTTTAAACTGAACTTTAGGATATATCTGCTCTATACTGTCCCACATATCTTCTATTTGGGCACTAGCACTACCCATTGTTTCATACTCAGGCCTAAAATAATAATCAATATATCCCTTCAATGTTCTTTCTTCCGGTGGTATTAACAAATTATACCCAGGTATATATTTGTAATCAATTATTTTCTTAGTCAAATGGTAAACAACATATTAAACAAAACAAATACAATTCACACCCAATAATTTATATGGCATGTCTTCAAAAAATTCTCGTAACTCTTTATAGTTAAATCCATTTACTATTTGATCTTGTTTTATGTGTACACTACAAGTATAATCTTTTAATGGTAATATATGATGCTCTAATAACTGAACTTTATTAGATCTAGGCAAAAGTTCATAGAACCTTTCACCATATTGAATGATAGTATGAGAAAATCTTATATATTTTCCAACATATTTCATAAACTCACTTCCAAGAGGTCTAAAATATACATATAATCCACTAGTTTGAGTACAACAGTTTCTGTATAAATATTCTATGAAATTGGTGTTAAATCAACTTCAGGTAACTTCTTATAATCCTGGTTACATTGTGCAGGTATAGATCGAAGGACATCAGTCAACTTTCTGCACATATTTGGGTGTTTTAACCTTTTAATAGCAATAAAATCATATAAGAATTGAAATCTATTTCTATATGCAAACTGATTCATTATAGCTTGTTCAATTTGTGTGATATTTGCCAACGTAGAGGACATGAAATTCAACGACAAGATTTAACTTCTCTAGAAGTAAAATACCCATTTCATAGAGTTGGAATTGATATTAAAGGACCTTTACTTCCAACCAAGCAAGGCAATCGTTATATTATCATTGCCATGGATTATTTAACCAAATGGTCAGAAGCAAGAGCTGTAACTAATGTAAAAGCTACAACTGTTGCTAAATTTATTTATGAAGATATTATTTGTCAACATGAAACACCTACAATATAACTATCTGACCGAGGAACAAATTTTATGAGTGATATTGTTAAAGAATTGTGCAATAACTTTCAAATAAAACATCATAAATCATCTGCCTACTAACCACAAACCAATGGGATGATTGAACGATTCAACCGAACTATTGGTGAAGCTTTAGCAAAAATAACAAGCTATAAATACAAGGAATGGAATGAAATTCTTTCTTCTGTATTATTAGTATACCATACTATGAAGCATAGTACAACCAAATTTACACTATTTTCTCTAATCTATAGTCATGATGCAAAATTACCAATAGAAACAATTATAGAGACCTATTATGATGAAAATAAATCGTTTCAAGAAGCTCTCTTAAAAAGATTTTTTGAAATAGAAGATGTATTATTAAAACAACAAGAAGAAGCTTTAGAAAATATTAAAGAAGCACAAAAAGCTCAAA